AATAACAAATGTTCGTCTAACAACAAAGAAAAATTAATTGTAGAATCAAGTGTAGTAAACAGATTATTTTAATTCACACAACAATCAGATAAAAATTATTATCTTTTAAAATCTGTATTATGGGTGAAATCACACTGGATGTTTTAGAGTGGTCAATTTTAATTTTATTTCATAGTCTATCAATCTGAAAACTTCATAGCAGAGATAACAGAAAAATAGACGGGTTCTGACTTTATAGTTTAGTAAGAAAAAGTTGCTCCCTGGAGATGTATGATCCATTCAGCTTTCCAAGGAGAATTTGGAAAGAAACACCTAGAAAGTAGACCAGGAAAATGTACTTAGAAGCACTGTGGCTGCCTGGGGCTGATATCTGCCATTTATTCAGTATCATGCTGTAACAAATTGTATGATTGTCTCGTTACACTTGGCATTGTGAGGCTGCAGCTCAAGTACTAGTTAAGTTTTGAGCCCCTCACTTCAAAAAGGACATCCAGCACCAGTGTTCTTTTGTCCAGAGAAGGATGAAAAATCTGGTGAAGGATCTGGAAAACATGCCTTTTGAGGAGAAACTTAGAGAGCTGTGGCTGTATAGCCTGTGGAAGAGGAAACTCTGAGGGACTTTTTTGCTCTCTACAACTGCCTGAAAGGAGGATGAAGTGATGTAGCCTTCATTTCCTCTGCCGTGTTTTAAGTGAAAAGATGAGAGGCCTTAAATTGCACCGGGGTGTTTCAGACTAGATATTAGGGAGAAAAAAATCACTGAAAGAGTGATTAGGCATTGGAATAAATTACTGAGGGCAGTGATGAAGTCACTGGCTCCAGAAATGTTCAAGAGGTATCTGAATGTGGTGCCTGGGGATAGGGGCTAGGGTTGATTATGGTGGTGCTGACCTGGAAGTTGGACTAGATGAGTTCAACAATCTCTGCTGACCTTGATGATTCTGTGTTCAAAGCCAGGTTGGATGGGACTTTGAGCAACCTGGTCTAGTGAAACATGCCTCAGCCCTTGGCAGAGGATTGGAACTAGGAATTATTTATGTCCTTTGTAACCCAAGCAGTTCTATGATTCTGTGATATGAAAATAGGATTATGCTCCTGTTGATATGTTAAGTCACAAAGTCAAGAAAGTTTATCAGCTGGGGTTGCAGCCATGTTCTTCCTGTGACAGACCTTTAATCAACCATCCTTTGATTTATTATCTGTAAAATTCAGTATAAGGTAGACCAATTAATAAATTTCCCTCTTGTATTATTGAAGTCAAAGATATATGAGCAATGTCACTTATTTATGACCTACAATTTTGCCTGGGGGAGAGGCAAGGAATGACCAGTGTCCAGTTTGCTTAGTCCAGTCTCACTGTGATTTCCCTGGTAATTGCTCCTCACCACAAAATAAAAAGCCTCAGCAGGAAAAGGTGAGATCAGAAGTGGCTAGAAGGGGATCAGAGGCAGGGTAAAGGTGTTTGACACTTTTCTCTATAATTAAGTTAAGCACTGCAAAGAGTCTTTTTTCCCCCTGTGAGGACAGGGTTTTTCTGGCATGGATAGATAGATAGATAGATAGATAGATAGATAGATAGATAGATAGATAGATACATAATGTCGGGATTTTAGCTGACTAGAGATTGGAAAAGTACAAGGCCGTGGCAAACTCTGAGTCCTGCACCTGCTGGGCCTAGCTGTAGTATGATAACAAATAGTGAAAGAGACATGAGAAAAGAGGGATGTAACCCCTAAGGAATGGGGAAGAGCTGATGTTGTGGTGTGGCCAATGGATGGTGAAAATTACAGAATATTCATGAGCTTATTACCTGTTGTATAAGTGTATGATGCTCTCTTCAATAAATGGACCTTGCTGATGACTCATATTGAGCCCCGAGTTTTCTCTGCACCCGACAAATAGCTCATCCCCAACAAATGGCTCATTCTGCAACACAGATAGATAGATAGATGATAGATAGATAGATGGATAGATAGATAGATAGATAGATAGATAGATAGATAGATGGATGATAAAATGAATTCTTTGTCTCTCCTTTAACTCTGATATACTGTGTGAATGCAGCGTCTTGCAAGGACTATGTTGTTCCAGGAAGGACACCACTGTTGCTGGTAAAACAAGTTTAAATAGGCATATTCAAAATTACTATATTTATTTGTTTGCTTGTTTGTTTGTTTCACAGCTATTCTGACAGAATTTTTTCCTCATTTTATTTTTCATCTTTCCCTTCTCCAAACCAAGAATTTGCTTTTCATTTGAGTTAAAGAACAGCATTTCACCTCAAGTGCTCACCAATTGCAGCTGCATATTTCATTATTGTTAGACTTTAGAACTTTTTACTCATTAGCATTAAACTGGTGTAGTTCCTACAGTGTGAGAAGTAACTAAGATCAACTTTTAAGAGCAAATTAAAAGAGAAAAGCATCACCAGTATAGCAGAAATTAGAAAGAAAATAGAATAGAAGAAAATAAAGAAGGAAATCCTCCTAGATTTCAGAAGTCATTATCATCCAATACTTTCACTCACATTAGTGAGTAGAGCACTGGTAGAGTGCAAGGTAGAGTACAATGTAGAGTACTTTCACTGAAATCCATGATGAAAAAAACATCAACTTTTCCCTTTAGGCACCGACTTCAGTTACACTGGCCTAAAATAATACACCTTACTCTTAGCTATGCCCAGGTAACTGCCAGCGTGTCTCTTTGTAGCCATCCTCAGTTCAAAGTCAGGCTATTTAAGTTAATACATCTTCTCCTTGATTTAAAGTTTCATATTAACCTGAAAGGCAGGGAGAGCTGAAAATCATGAAAACAATAATTCACAGAACTCAACTGATAAGCTGTAACTCATTAAATCATTATAACTATATCACATTCATAGGTGTGGGTTCTTTCCTTTTTCTTGTTTAGGACTTGTGAAAGTTCAAGACAAAAAATACATTTTCCTGATTTCTATACTAATAAACTGAGAGAGAAGCAAACACATGACATAGTCATGATTTATATAAGTAAAATTTTGATCAAATAAATATGCAAATTACAAGAAGGAAAAAAATTCTGTTGAAGAAAACTATTTTTCTAGACACATTTTCTTTCTGGTTCATCTTTTTTACATTCATCACCTTAGCTATCAAAGGCAAAGGCAGCTCATAGGCTTGCCTCTCTAAGTGTGAAGGACAATCCACAAAATTTCAGTGACAAATATTGTCCCTGTAAATTTCAGCCACTCTTATTTTCCAGGCAGTTTGCCTGGGGGTTTTTGTTGTTGTTGGTTTTTTTTTTTTTTTTTTTACTTTCACTGCTGGGTGTCAATAGCCTGCTGCTTAAAACATAACAGCTGGGAAACAGGAACAGAACAAGCTGGAGCTAACTATTTGCAAAGTCTCCTTCACTGTGAAGTTATTTTGTGACTATGTTACTATGTTGCTATGACAGTGGTGAATGAGCTTAAACTACTGAAAGGGCTTGGTCACTTTTAGATAAGTGCTAAAATTGTTGAGTCACCATCTCTGGAACTGTTAAAAAAACCATGTGGATATGGCACTTGAAGATATACATGGTTTAGTGGTGAACATGGTGGTGGTGCTAAGTTGATGGCTGAATTTGATGAACTTAGAAGCCTTTTCCAACCTCAGTCTATGATTCTAAGGCTCAGGCTCTGGGGTGGCTAGATTTGAGGCCAAGACCCACATCAGATTTAGGTTCAGAATTAGTTGCATCAAAATCCCTCAATTTGAATTTCAAATGACAGCAGAGTCTCCTTCTCAAATCACCTCACAAAATTTCTAAAACTTCTTGGAAACTAAGAGTTGTTTTAAGTTTGACTCCCCAGTAGTCAAAGCTAAGGGACCTGGTACTGCTCTGACAATTTCAGGGAAAACAGGAAATACTCTTCCACTCAACAAAAGAAAAAAATTATCAGCGTGTTCAATGCAGCTAGCCAGAATTTGGGAAGAAGAGAAAAGAAAATGGCCTCAAGTTGTGTAAGGGGAGGTATAGATTGGGTTATTTAAAATATTCTCTTTGGAAGAGATTGTCAGGCATTGGAACAGGTTGTACGGGGAAGCAATGGAGTCTCCCTCCTTGAAGATGTTTAAAAGATGTGTTGATATAGCACGTGGGTTCATGAGTTATTGAGAGGCTTGGCAGTGCTGGGTTACCAGTTGGAGTTGATAATCTCAAATATCTTTTGCACCCTAAAATATTTTGTTTCTATGATTCTAATGAATCTGTTCTGCTTCTGTACTAAGACTATCTTCTATAGCGTTTTAACAGTTTGGGAAAATGAAATTATATCAGAAGGGTCCTGACTTAGTTGTTTTGGTTTTATATTACATTGTGTATTAGCTTAAAAGTATATATGTATATATTTGTAATGTATGTACACATGTAAATGTGTGTGTGTGTTGAATGCTAAGTATTACAGCTTTAAGTGGATGGAGTAACTTTGCTGGCCTAGTGGGATACAGGGTGGATAACAAAGATGTGCAGTTGTATATAAGATAGATATTTTGATTCTATTAGGTATACCTAGACCAGTTTTTTCCCATTGAGTGTATATATCAGTAATTCTAGGTTTAGGTCCAGGAATGGAGGCTCACTGACCTTGCTACAGACAAATATAAAATTTGCTTTATGCTTCAATATGCTTCAATTGAAATAAAAATCTGCATTCTGTCTATAACAACTCAGAAAATCTCCTGTATAAGTATATGACATGAAACATGATATAAAAAAATGGTGACTTTCTAAAAGCTCTTTGAATTAGCCACACAAGAAGAGCCTTCACTTTTGTTGTGTTGTCTTAGTTTAACACTCTTTAAATGTTTCACAGTACTATGATCTCCTCACAGCAAATATAATTAAACTTCCTTTCCTCTGGCACTAAACAGAACTTCATTATTACTTTCTAATTCCATAACTGTATGAGAGAAGCAAACTTTCTGAAATTGAAAGTCTTTTTTCCAATTTCAGTTTTTCTTCTTTATTTTTTTTGGTAGGATGGACATATTTCTTTGTTTGGAAATTAAGATGTTCTCTGCTTCTAGGACACCATGGTGAAAATCTGTAATTAAGGTAAGAGAAATATCTTCAGATTTTCTACAGTTTTACAGTCTTGCAATCGCTCATGGCTTCAGAAGTCTTGCCTGTAATTATCTTTCTGCTCTTCTTCTTTCCTCATAATTCTTTTAGAAACTAAAGTTACTTTGTTGCATTTTTAATGACATAAAGACTAAATTGTTACAGGAGCTTATTTAGCTAAACCAGCACCTGTGGGCTTTTTGGGTTTGTTGTTAGAGATGCCATCACAGATTTAAATTTTACCAGCCTGCGGGAATAGATTGCATTTCTAAAGAAAACAATTCTTTCTGTAAAGTAATTCACCCTGCAGGAATTTTAAGGCCTGAGGATCTAAATCTGGTTTTGGAACACTTTATAGTTAGCATAAAATTTGAAAAACAGCTTTATAAACTAGGATCCTTCACTCCCAGTCAAAGAAAATAAGACTTACAGGATTTGCAAGTTTTGATCCCTACACTCCTAAAGAACTAATTTAAGAATTGATCTCTAGGTCACATAATTTTCCACCGAGGTTCATTTTCTAATACAGCCTGGATTTGAATAGGCAGTGTTGATGTATTGAGACTAAATTACACACTTCCTTCTAGAGGCATGGATTAACAAACATAAAGTTGTAGCATTTTAAAGGAGTGGAATTCACAAACACCAACACAAGCCAGTGGGAGCAGATCTGGCTATCTCTTGTAAAGGCTTTTTCAAATCCCTGCTCTAAGCAGCATTGTGAATCAAATCAAATGCTTAAATCAAAGATAAATGTAGGAATGATGGGAGGCCAGTTTTCAGAAACAGATGGATTTACCAGCCTCTTATGCTCTGTGTGGTGGGATTACCACCAGCAGGTTCAGCATGGAGTTTGTCTGGCAGCCTGCTCAGTTTTCGGAATAGCTCATCACATCTATAGCTTGCAGTGCTGCTTGGAGAAAAGGGATGTAGGATGTTGTTTTCTTTAGATCACTCACTTACTTACTAATCAGAAAAACAGTGGGTTTTAAACAATTATATAATTTCTTTAGGACACCTAAATGCTGTTCAGGTGTCCTAAAGAAAATTTTTAATGATTGCACATACACACGATAATAAAAATCAGTGGTATTTACTGAACTAAATACAGATATGGAGGTGTGTAAAATGTGACCAATTCTTGACAGATTATTTCTGTCACATAATAGACTTGTCTAGATGCTTTCAAGAAAATCCTATAGACTTAATCTTTTTACTGTTGAATTGATGAGAGATGAGTTTTGCTGGCTGCTGTTGTCTGGGATCACCTTTTCTGCATGGTGTTGGCATGGTTAACATTGTTATAGTAATGTCCAGTCACAACTTCAGTAATAGTTTGGCTGCCAGATAAAGCTGTGATGCTTTTGTGATGGTTTGGTTAAGAAGTCTGTCATCATTGTTCAATTATAATGTAAAGAAAATACCTAAGGTTATAATTGCATAAATATGTTTATATATGGGCAACGCTACACACCCTCTATGCAGTCTGTAGGTTGCAATTCATATTAAAATGATGGTTGAACCCATTCTTTACAGAAACTTGCAGATGATCAGTTTCTTTTTTATTTAGTCGCAGATTAAATCCTCAGTGGTGTAGCACCTAAAAATGCCCTAGTCATGCCCTTTGAAATTTCTGTGAGAACAGCCAAAACCATTCAGCATTTTTCCCTAAATATACTCAAAAAAATCAGAAGTATTTTCTGAGTTCTGCAATTTCTTTACCCACTGTCATCAAGAATGCATTTTGCTGAAATATTATGCTCATGTATCCAATTTTCTTGGTCGTATTTCATTATGTCTTGAAGTGTAAGTAAACTTGATTGATGCAAATTGACTGATTATGTCCAAGTTCTAACCCAAGCCTTGCAACAGTTGTTAGCAGACACTGAGAATTTTTTGCTCTTACGCTACTTCAAAGCATAGGTCTGCATTTCAGATGATGTTTCTATAGTTGTGTGTGAGAAAAAAAACCTATCATTTCTTGCTGAACTATATCCACAGCTCTGAATTATCAGTTCTTACCAGCCTTATGATATCTGGTAATTTATATGTAATGTGTGAAACTGGAAATGTGAGTTTGAGTGTAAATATATCAAAGCATCATTCTGATTGAATTTTAAGTTCTTTATATAACCTTGACTCCAGTTCATGCCTATCAGCTTATAGGACTTCTGTTACTTAAAGCAAACATAAATTTATATCCGCTGCTTCTAAAATCACTTTATTTCTTTTCAGTAGCATGAAAATAACTTCTGACTGTTTTAGCTGGCAGATGTTTGAGTGGCAAATTGCTATTAAGAAAAAGAGAGAAGGCCCATAGAGTTTGCAAACTCACATTTAGCAGGTCCTACAGTGAAAAATTCTGAAAAGCACAAGGATAGAACAATATGTGATTTTAATTGTAGGATAAAAATTGGAACAATTACATTTTTGCAAAAACAATCACCTTGTTTTTAGCTCTGTGAGCTAGTGAAACATCAGAGATTTTTAAGATGCTGCTTTCAAAGAGTGATTAGAAAGCAATCTCTTGTAAAATGCAAATAACCTCCAGAGTTTGAGCACAGTCCCTGTGTGCCCACCTGAAACAGCATGCAGCAGAATCATGCAAACTTCAGATTATTATTTTCCTAAACCCAGAACTTAAGTTAGACCTTCCTTAAGAATAAATAGCTCTTGAATATGGAATCAGGATCAGAACTATGGAACTGAAATAAGACATGATTCCTAAAATAAAAGCAATTTCAGACTTTAAGTGAAACCTTATTTTATTCTGGTAGAGGCTATTCAGAGAATTTCTGGTGATTAAAAGGCATTCATCCATGAATGGAAGGAATGTATTCAAGCCTCAATATGTTTTATTGCCAGGTTTCTAAAGAGCCTGAATCCCAACCATAATGGTGAATGACAGCACACTCTGTGTTTTGTTAGAGAGAGAGGCAAGGCAGAGCACCACAGCCTTTGTCATATGGTTTCCACTCAGATGTCAGTGAATATAATATACATGCAGACTTATACCTGATTTCTTTTAAGTTGAATTATCAAATGAAGCCTAGTTGTAGCATTAAATATCTAATCTGTTCGAGACTGATGGAAACTATGCATAACTTTAGTGGTGAAAATAAAGTCATAAACTGCTGTTTGTGAAAGGAGCATGGATCTCTCTGTTATCTTCCTTCTTGAGATAACAAAACCAAAAATGAAGGAAAATATAAAAAACAGCACCAAAAATGTGCTTTCTTATTGAACAGAAGCAAATAATTTTACATATAACTGTTGGAGAATCTCAAAATATTTTACTGAAGATATAGATGGTCTGCATCATTCAGCTACTGTCAGAGGAACAGAACTGTCCTCTTCTGGGAATGTATTGTTGAAATATATCTGTCACTGGATGCCATCTGGTCCATCACAAAACAGATCACGTTGCATTTCAGAGGTATCTATTCATAGTTCTTCCTAAGAACAAAGCTACTGACAGAATGGGACAATAGGCAGGAGGGAAGGACTGTATGGAAAGCACAGATTATTGCAAGATACCTTTCTTCAAAGGTAATGTCCTGTAGTTCCCCAGCTTACACCACCCTGAAATACAGCCTGTTTGATAACTGGAGGCCAGTGACAACAAAAGCCATGTCTTCACAGTGTCCTCTGATTAGGCGAAGTTTAATTTCAGTTATAAAACAAGCCAAGAACTTGCTAGATGATGCTGGGAGCCTCCCCTGAATGCACTCCCAATGTTAGGGCCAGCAACATTTGCGGTCCTTCTACCCTGTGAAATTAAGCAACTGCTTTTTCAAAGCTTTTCTAAAGGGGAATGGGCAGGGTATGGCATCAGGGTCCTTCCAGCACTGGGCTACAAGTGCTGACTATGGATACTGATAACTTTGGGATGACTTAGTGTTGATGGAACTGTTTTCTGTGAGAAAGTACATTTTATCTGAAACCCAGAAACATAGAAAAAAAATTGGTTTGTCTTCCAATTGCTGTAGTGTGTTCTTAAGTTTTTAGTTTGCTCCCCCATTTTCTGTATTATATCCCCCTGTTTTATGTAAATGGTTCCTCCCTTCCCCAGTATTTCCCGCCACTGCCACCCTGTCAGCTAAGTTGCTATGGTAACTTCGCTATTCATAGTTGCCGATATGTAATTGCTTCTCCCCTGGTTTCCCTTATAAGTGAAAGTTGTCTCCTCCCTGGGCCCAGTCAATCACCTCCTTCTCCTCCCGGGTTTCGAGAACCTTCTTCTCTCTGGGGGTTATGGCTGGCTGCCGTCCCAGGGCCCCTCCTTTGCTTAATATTAGTTGGTTATTTAGGTATGTCAATTATGTTTAGGACCGCCAAATATGTATTATTATTGGTTAGCTGGGTTTCCCTAACTTTTCCCCCCTTTTTCCCTTAAAACCCTGTCTCGCCCCCTGTTCGGGGCCATTTGCTGGTGGTGCCCATCCCCGTTGGTTCTTCTGTAATAAACCGACAGCCTACCTCCAGCAAGTGGTCGCCTCCTTATTCGTCTCGCAGCGCGCTGCTCCGAGCTATCACCCAGCCCAGCCCGAGGCCAAGACGCCGAAGGGGGTTGCCTTCAGATGCGCGGGGGCGTTGGCCTTCGCCCCTCAATAACTAGCCGGATCTAGGGCCGTGTACGCCCACGCGCATCCAATTAATGTAGATATTAAAAGAGGGAACATGATTTTCTTGGAATTAAAATTTATAGAGTAATGGGCAAAACATAAATAAAATAAGTTGTTTTTGCAAAAGTAGACATTGAAGTTTATGATTCTTAACATTCTTTCTGTAACAATTTATTTCCAGTCAGAATTAAGAAAAGTTATAACAAATATCTTTGAGCAAAATTTGTTCTGTAATCAACTCTATTCCACAATAGATCTGAAAGTTCAGATTTTCTTTTCCTGTCTTGATTACAAGTGTGTCTCTTGCCAGTTAAAGAGGTGTCAGGGCACCCTAGAAGCTGACCAGTGTTGAAGAACTGTTTTTTGCAC